AGCTCTGGCCATTGTGGCCATTTGGGGAATGAACCAGCGGATGGAAGGCACATTCTCTCTGTCTCTGTCTCTGTCTTTACCTCTCTCTGTAACTAATAGGAAGTTAAAAATTTTTCTTCAGAATAGTTTTGGGCCAAAGAAAAAATTTCTAATGAAAATTAGAAATATTTAGAACTGATCAACTTTCTCTTTCTTTTTTCTTTTTTTTTTTTTTTTAATTTTTTGACAGGCAGAGTGGACAGTGAGAGAGAGAGACAGAGAGAAAGGTCTTCCTTTTGCCGTTGGTTCACCCTCCAACTTTTAAAATGTTTATCAGACAAGCCGTAATTGAGGGACATGCTACACAATATCTGCTCAGTACTGAACACTATACATGAGTTCTCATTGTGATGCAGCAGGTTAAGCCACTGCTCGCAATGCCTGCATCCCATGTAGGGATGCTCATTTGAGTCCCAGCTTCCTGCTAATGCAGCTAGGGGGCAGTGGATGATGTTTTGGGTACTTGGATCCTTGCCATCCATGTGGTAGACTCAGATGGAGTTTTGGGCTCTTGGCTGCAGCCTGCCCCAGCCTTGGCTGTTATAAGCATTTGGGGAATGAACCAGTGGATGAAAGAATATCTCTCTGTCACTCTGCCTTAAAAATAAATAAATCTTTTTTTAAAAACCCCTATACAGTGTATCAAAAATTTGAAAGTAAAGGTGAAACGAGTTAGAAGTAAAATATTAGCTTTAATGCCATTTACTAGAAAAGAAAAAGATTGAGTTAAGCACTGACTTCAAGTAATAAGGAAAAAATAGATGAGACAAATTTAGTGATAGAGGAAATAAAAGAATCAACAAAACCAGATGTTGGTTATTTGAAAGCACTAATAAAATAGACAAACCATTATAGGACTGGTCAAAAATAAAAAGTGCAAATAAGCAATATTTGGTATAAAAAAGAGAATATACTGTGGAAATGTACTGCCAGGAGTTAGCCCGGTGGTTAAGATGTCCACTTCCCTCATCAGAGTACCTGGGTTTGGTCAGTCCCTGGCACTGGCTCCTGACTCCAGCTTCCTGCCATTTGGTTTTGTTGATTCTTTCATTTCCTATATCATTAAATGCTTCTCATCTGTGCCTAACTCACCATCAGGCAGTAGTGATGGCACAAGTAATTGGGTTCCTGCCACCCAATGGGAGACCTGGATTGACTTCCCACTTCCCAGCTTCAGTCCCAGCCCAACCCTGTCCATAATGGATATTTTGGGAATAAACCAGCAGATGGAGCTCTCTTGTCTTTTTTTTTTTTTTTTTTTTTAACCTCTTAAGGGGAAAAAAAAAACTAAAAAACAAACAAAAAACCATGCCGGTCTACTGGAAAAATTTAAGATAATTTCTATTTTTAAAAAGGATTTATTTATTTTAAAGGCAGAGAGAGAGAGAGAGATCCTTCACTTGCTGGTTCACTCCCCAAATGGCCAGGGCTGGGCCAGACCAAAGCCAGGAGCCAGGAGCTTCTTCCAGGTCTCCCACATGGGTACAGGGGCCCAAGGATTTGAGCCATCCTCTACTACCTTCAGCTGGGACTGAAACCAGCGCCCATATGGGATGCCAGCCCTGTAGGTGGAAGCTTAACCTTCTATTCCACAGTGCCAACCCCAAGACAATTTCAAAGAAAAAGGAGATGAAGGTACTAAATGTATGAGATACTAAATTTACCATAAAATTACAGTAATGAGGACAGCCTGGCAAAGCATAAGGCTGGGCAAATCGGGGAAAAGGATACAAATCTTGAAAGAAAAATTCTGCTGGAATATATGAAAACCTTATATGTGATTAAAATAAATTAGTAGGAGGAAGGATGGACTGTTCATTAAATGATGCTGGAGAAATTGACCATCCTTATAAATATGTATTTCACAGTATATTAGAAATAAATTATAAATAGATTAAAGAAACAGGCTAGAATAAAATTTATGAAAATATATTTATAAATTTGGTGTAGAATTTGTACGGACAAGTAAATAAGAAAGGAAAAATCACAAATTAGAAAAGATTAAGTATTTCAATTCAGCAATCAGATTATAAAGGAGTAGCATCCTATAAATCAATTAGAAGAAAAATAGGTAAAAGATAAAGACACAATTTATAGAAGGGAGATCTAAAATGATTCTAGCAGAAAAAAAGAGAAAAAAAGTACAACTTCAGCTACCAAAAAAAAAAAAAAATGAAAAACTAGGGGCCAGCACCATGGCTCACTTGGTTAATCCTCTGCCTGCAGCACTAGCATCCCATATGGGCACCGGATTCTGTCCCGGTTGCTCCTTTTCCAGTCCAGCTCTCTGCTGTGGCCCGGGAAGGCAGTGGAGGATGGCCCAAGTGCTTGGGCCCCTGCACCTACATGGGAGACCAGGAAGAAGTACCTGGCTCCTGACCTTGGATCAGCATAGCTCCGGCTGTTGCAGCCATTTGTGGGGTGAACCAAGGGAGGAAGACCTTTCTCTCTGTCTCTCTCTCTCTCACTGTCTCACTCCATCTGTCAAATAAATAAATTTAAAAAAAAAGAAAAAGAAAAACTAAAACCACATTGAGATATCATTTCATACTCATTTGTCTGATTTTATGAAGAGTTGATGAGGGTGTGGAGCAACGTGTTTAAGAGTATAAAAGAGTATTCAACTGTCTGTTGAATGTTCCTTCATCCTGGTTTAATGTTTGTGGTAGATGTTCCTATTGCTCACCAAACTCTCCACATCTTCTCCCAGGCATTCTCTCCTGGGCGCACAGTGGGGTTGCATTTCCCCGTGCCCTTGGAAGTTAGGGAAGGCCATCTAACTTACCTTGGTCAATAAAACGTGAGCACAGTGAGGTGTGTCACTTTAGGGAAGAGTTTTAAGCGCCAGTGCCCAGCTTACTGTCATTCCACTGCTGCTGTGATGGAGGAAGCATGTGTGAATAGGAAGCCTTTGTCACTGACACAATTTTGTCCTGAGTGACACAATGAATCGGGCCATCTGCTGTCATTGAACACGGAGGATGAGTGGAAAATAAATGTGTGCTGTGTCAAACCATGGTTAAGATGGGGGACTGTCTGTTATGCAGCACAACCTACCTACCTACCTGTTATCTTAGATCCCAGCTCAATTTCCTGAGCATATAACTGCCCTTTTTCCATGAGGCAAAAGCACTGTGACTTACCCTGTAAATACAAGGGCACTTCAAAAATTCATGGGAAATAGTGGTAAAAGACAATTATTTTTTAAAATCTATGCAGATCTGAGGGGTCACAAAAAGTATATTATAAAAGCTGTATGATTTTCAAAATTTTTGCACCATAATAGACTTTTAATTGCATTTTTCTATGAACTTTTTAAAGTACCATTGTGTACTCCTTACCTGTTTCATTCCAATGTCATAGGGAGTCTCTCTCTGAGCCCCTTCTCTGTTCAAGGAATCTCTCCGTTCAAACAATTTCACCAGTGTTTTTGTAATAGCTTTGGAGTTAAACTTAATAGTCAAGGAGTCACTGCCAGAAAACCACCCTCCCTCTCCTTTTATCCCTCTCCCTCCCCCATCCTTATTTGTAGGTGGCTTTCCTCATCTGCCAGAGAGCAGAGCAGTTAGGGAAAGGATGCGAGCTGAGAGACTAAGTGCAGGAATGGCCAAGTCAAAATGAGTGCACTACTCAGAGTATACGCATTAAGATTGCTTACTCCGGATTGCGAAATTGGAAATATTTCAGCATGGTAGTAGAACTGCTTACATCTTTTCTTCTCAAAGAGTGTAATGTTATACTGGAAAGTGTAGACGCATTAGATATCTAATGAAAAGTTATCCTTTTTTTCCCCACAATACCTTTAAAAATTATCTAAGTAAGCTGTAAAATCTTGAATGTAAGTAGCTAGGGTTAATTGTAGATTTTTATTAAAAACTCAGAGGTCTAGAGAAAATTGTAGATTTTGGTTGAATGGTTGAAATGTACACAAAAGTTTACTGGGTACTTAAAAGGGCACTACCTTTTATCATTCTCTTCTATGTGTTTAAAGGGTCTACACCATATTGGGCAGCCATCATTTTGTGGACACTCTTGACTTTTAGCAATGAGCAGAAACTTGAACATATTGAGAGACTCAATCTAAACAGTCTGGTTTTTCAGGATACTGAAGTTCATGAAAAAAGAGAAGGGCAAGTGTATTGCATTACACAGAATAGTAACTAAATAAATAAAGGAAATGGAACATGGCTGAGGACAACAACATGTTCTGAAAAGGAATTGGAGCCATGTACTGGGTCACTTTCCTGCTTTACAAATTCTAAAGTTTTTGGGGAAAATGTATCATTTTTCTTTAAACAAATTTTCATAAGAGCTGATAGCGTAAATACAGCTTAGAGAACACTAATAAAATGAATGCCTGTGTATATATCACCTAGCTTGAGAAACAGAGCAAGGCCAGTATTTCTTATAAATGAAATCAGTTAATGTTTGGAATCCTTGATGAGGTTCCTCCATGATTTCAGCGTCCTCCTTCCAAGTGAATTGTCCTTAATTTTGTGTAGTAATTCCTTGGTTTAACTTTTTAGTTTCATATTTATGTAGGTTTACCTAAATAAAATATTTCTTAGTTTGGACTCTGCGCTTTGCTTTTTTCACCCAACATTTTCTTTTTGAGATCATCCTGTTCTTATATAGCTATAACTCCTTAATCTTCATTGCTGTGCAGTTTCTCATGATAAGTTTATTACATAATGTGGTTATCCATTCTGTATACTATGGACTACAATGTTTCTTTGTAATAAGATACTTTAGGGTTAATTGCTACATACGATTTGGTTTGTCCTTAGGTTCAGCTTTTTAAAGCAGCATCATTTTGGCATGGAAATTGCATTCGTATCTAATTTCCTTTACATTTTATTGTCAATTTGAGATGGCAATTAATTAATTTTGTTTTGAGCATACTATCGGGATATATTTGGCTTCTCTTATCCTGATGCCAAATTGTGTGTTTTGATTCCCAGTTCCCATGGAGAATGTTGCTACCATTGCTGATTGTGCCAGTGTGATTGAAGGAGTCAGTCGGAGCAGAAATGCCTTGCTGAATGGGGACACTAAAAATTATGATTGGGATTCTGGTTACACATGTCACCAGCTGGGAAGTGGTGCAATTGTGGTTCAGCTGGCACAGCCGTACATGATTGGGTCAATAAGGTAAGAAGATTCCTTTTCATTCATTAGTTGTCAAATGGAAGATACAAATGCAAATTGCAGCTGGTAAAATTAGGATCCAGATAATGTCAGTGAAGCAACTTTTTATTTGCTCTAAATATGCAAGGGGGTTAGGAGTGGAAATAGAGAGAGAATGAGATACCAGATACTTATTTGGAATTTCTGGTAGGTAGATGTACCAAAATGTAATGCATGTAGAAAAACTATACTTTCAGGGATCATTTCTATAGTTATCTATTAGCTGCATGGAGAGAAGAGATAGATGCTCTCCCTGGGCATGGCTTGCTTTCTCACATCTTAGTTGTATTGGTTACAAACTTACAGGATAATGCCAAAGAGAGATTATGTAGAATGAAAAATAATTTTCAACTTTAATAAATGACTTACACATGAACTAATTAGATCTGAAACATCTAAAAGATCTTAATGATCCTTATGTCTGGGTTTTTGTCATTCTTCCTTCTTATTTTAAGAGTAGAACTTTAACTTTGCTTGATTTATGTAATTTTTAAATGTAAGACTGATGACATTGCCCAGAGCAAATACTTTTAGTTCAGGAGCACCATCTGGGTCTTAAGTAGGCTGGCAGCTGCCTTCTCTTCCATGTTCTTTTTTTTTTTTCTTAAAGATTCATTTATTTATTTGAAAGGCAGAGAGAGAGAGAGGGAGAGGGAGAGGGAGAGAGAGAGATCTTTTATCTGCTGGTTAACTCCCCAGATGGCCACTACAGCCAGGGCTGGGCCATACCGAAGCCAGGAGCTTCTTCTAGATCTCTCATGTGGTTGCAGGAGCCCAAGGACTTGGGTCATCTTCCACTGCTTTCCCAGGCACATTAGCAGGGAGTGGGATAAGAACTGGAGCAGCTGGGACTCAAACTGGTACCCATATGGGATTCCAGCACTGCTGGCAGCTGCTTAACCAACTGTGCCCCAACACACTGGCCCCCAGCCTTTTCTTCTATGTTCTGAGAAGACTTCTGAATAGCTAGTATAAAGTGAGGGGCGGTGGGGCAGGGGAGAGCAGGCAGAGAGAGATATATCTTTTTTCTTTTAACTTTTATTTAATGAATATAAATTTCCAAAGTACAGCTTATGGATTACAGTGGCTTCCCCCCCATAACGTCCCTCCCACCCGCAACCCTCCCCTTTCCCACTGCCTCTCCTCTTCCATTCACATCAAGATTCATTTTCGTTTCTCTTTATATACAGAAGATCAGTTTAGCATACATTAAGTAAAGATTTCAACAGTTTGCTCCCACACAGAAACATAAAGTGAAAAATACTGTTTGAGTACTAGTTATAGCATTAAATCTCAATGTACAGCACTCTAAGGACAAAGATCCTACATGAGGAGTAAGTGCACAGTGACGCCTGTTGTTGACTTAACAAATTGACACTCTTGTTTGTGGCATCAGTAATCACCCTAGGCTCTTGTCATGAGCTGCCAAGGCTATGGAAGCCCCCTGAGTTCACTGACTCTGATAATTTTTAGACAAGGCCATGGTCAAAGTGGAAGTTCTTTCCTCCCTTCAGAGAAAGGTACCTCCTTCTTTGATGACCCGTTCTTTCCACTGGGATCTCACTCACGGAGATCTTTCATTTAGTTTTTTTTTTTTTTCCAGAGTATCTTGGCTTTCCATGCCTGAAATACTCTCATGGGCTTTTCAGCCTGATCCGCATGCCTTAAGGGCTGATTCTGAGGCCAGAGTGCTGTTTAGGACATCTGCCATTCTATGGGTCTGCTGTGTATCTCACTTCCCATGTTGGATCATTCTCTCCCTTTTTTATTCTATCAGCTAGTATTTGCAGACACTATTCTTGTTTATGTGATCCCTTTGATTCTTAGTCCTATCATTATGATCAACTGTGAACAGAAATTGATCACTGGGACTAGTGAGATGGCATTGGTACATGCCACCTTGATGGGATTGAATTGGAATCCCCTGGTATGTTTCTAACTCTACCATTTGAGGTAAGTCAGCTTGAGCATGTCCCGAATATTATGCTGAGTGAAATAAGCCAATCCCAAAGGGACAAATACCAGTTGTTCTCCTTGATAGGTGACAACTAACTGAGCACCAAAAAGGAAACCTGTTAAAGTGAAATGAACACTATGAGAAATGGTGACTTGACCAGCCCTCACCCTGACTGTTGATGAGCAACTTGATATGTTATCCATCTTAGTATTTTTTTTGTTTGTTCTACTTAATACTTTTGGTTGAATACTGTAATCAATACACAATTCTTAAGTGCTGAAACTTAACTGAAAAGTGATCACTGTTAAAAGTGATCACTGTTAAATATAAGAGAGATATATCTTAGCCTTCCTGGGCTGAGATGTGTGGGCAGGGCAGGGCAGGACCACCTTTTCGCCATTGTCTACACCATGTTTTGTTTCCAGTTCTCGTTTTAAAAAAAAAAAATCATTCATTTATTTGAAAGACAGAGTTAGAGAAAGGAGACAGAAAAGAAGATCTTCTGTCCGCTGGTTCATCCTTCAAAGACTGCAGGAGGTAGAGCTGGGCCAGAAACCTGGAACTCTGTCTGGGTTTCCCATGTGAGTAGCAAGGGCCCAGGCACTCAGGCCATCTTCTGCTGCTTTCCCAGACATATTTCCAGGGAGCTGGATCAGAAGTGGAGCAGCCCAGGCTCAAACCAAGGCTCAATGGCTACCAGCATTGCAGGCTTCACCCACTGCACCACAAAGCCAGCCCCTCCTATTCTCATTTTAAAGTCAATATGTATATAGAGAGAAGTAGCACAAAGAATAAAGTAATAGGATTCCAACAGGCAAAGGTTTATTGATGTTTAAGCTGTAAACTACAGAGGCTATTACTATTTGCCTGTTCCCCAGGGTACCCTGAAGAGTTGATGCTGGATTTCTTGGGGGAATTCAGACTATGGGTTTCTTCATTTAACTTGTCAACCTCTTTTCATAGAAGACCATATTGCAGACTGAGTACCATAGGCAACAAATCATGGATAGAGAAGCCTTGATATCCTACTTGAAGCCAGAGAACTTATTTTGTGCCTAGGAAGGGAGAAGAGACCGGTCAAACTTATCATCTAGACAAGCTACCATATGGATAAACTGCAGTCAAACAGCAAACAATTCTCCTCTCCTTTTTCTCAGCTGCACGCATTAACCAGAGTACTCACAAACCTTCTATTCAATAAACTATTCTAGGACTCTTATAGATGACGAGAAACTTATCTATGTACTTCCCATTACAGTATATTCCTCCTCACTTTAAAAGTCTGGAAAACAGTTGTCCTTTCGTCTTCTGGTACTCCTTATAGTGTCTACCATTTCTTGAACATTATCAGTCGTGTGTCTGACATTACATCTGCAATTTCTTTCAGCAGGCTTAGGGTGTAACTTATCTGAGCCAGGAGACTTGAAATCATTTAAATTGACTAGATACTCTCTTTCTTTCACTTCACCTATTTGAGACTTCAATTTTCTCTTTATTATGTTTGTTCTGCCATCTCTAATTTGAAGACCAGTCTTCTAGCCAATGAAGATTGAAGTAAACAGGCAGCCGAGTAGCTCTGCCCACTCCCTTGTAACATTCTCTGTATTCTATTCACTTACATGATACCCCATGTCCCCTCCCCACCACTACTACCATCTAACAGTGTACCTCAAACCAGGCTGTCTGAACATCTGGGAGTGGATATTTAGCCCAGCAGTTAAGATCCCACGTTGGACTGCCTGGCTCTGGCTCCTATTCCAGCTTCCTGCCAATGCAGATCCTGGAAGGCAACAGTGAAGGACCAAGTAACTGATTCCCTGCCACCTACATGGGAACCCAAGGAGTTCCTGACTCCTGGCTTCAGCCTGGCCCAGCCCTAGCTATTGAGGGCATTTGGGGAGTGAACCAGTAGATGGGAGTACCTTCTCTGTGCTGTCTCAAAGAAGTTAAATTTTAAAAATAAAATAATTTTTAAAAATGGAGTTGCATTATCTTCCCTTTTCCTGCTCAAGTCATCTTCCATCAAGCCATCTCATCAGTAGTACCACCCATCTATCACTTACCTGAGCCCAAAACATAGGTGTCTTAATTCCTTCCCCTCCTTCACTCCCCCAGCCAGCTGTCCTAAAGACCTATCAGTACTGCCTCCTAAACGTCTCACAGATCCTTCCTGTCTTCTCCAATTCACTTCCTTTACCGTACTTGCACCTCATATCTACCTGATCTCCCAAGCTTCCGTCTGGCCCTCCCTTGCCTTACCCACAACTGTCCCACATCTGAGGCAGCCATATCCATCCCAGAGAGGATCTGGGCTGCAGTTTGCCTTCAGGAAAAAGTTCAGATTAAGATGTTTAAGAAGGACCTGACTTACTGCTATCTGCACAGCCCGTCTGCTGCCCCCGCACCCTTTCCCGGGCCACCCAAGGCCCTTCTCCACCTCAGCACATCCACACTTCAGAGTTCTGTGTGAGCTTCAGCCCTCTCTTACCCCTTCCACACTCACGTCTCTGAACCTGCTGGTCTCTGCCTGCGATTGTCACTGCTTTCGTACAACTCCCTTTTTACCTGGCTTGCTGTTTTCCACTTTAAAATTCTGCCCCTTTGGGATACTCCCCTAACTTTCCATCATCTTCTGCGCTTGTTGAGTTATCATTCTTTTTTTTTAATATTTATTTATTTGAAAGGCAGAGTTACAGAGAGGCAAAGAGAGAGGCAGAGAGAGAGGCAGAGAGAGAGGGAGAGAGAGAGAGAGAGAGAGAGAGAGTGTGTGAGTGAGCAGGCGGGCTTCCATCTACTGTTTCACTCCCCAGATGGCTGCAATGGCCATAGGTGCGTCGACCCGAGGCCAGGATCCAGGAGCTTCTTCCAGGTTTCCCATGCAGGTTCAGGGGCCCAAGGACTTGGGTCTTCCTCTACTACTTTCCCAGACCACAGCAGAGAACTGGATTGGAAGTGGAGTAGCCAAGACTCGAACCAATGCTCATATGGGACACCAGCACTGCAGGTT